ATTTCCCCATGTTCTGTAGAGTGAGTATGAGTGAGTGGAGTTTGTATGATCTCCCCATGTTCTGTAGAGGGAGTGTGAGTGAGTGGAGTTGGTACATTCTCCCCCCGTTCTGTAGAGTGAGCGTGAGTGAGTGGAGTTTGTATGATCTCCCCATGTTCTGTAGAGTGAGCGTGAGTGAGTGGAGTTTGTATGATCTCCCCCTGTTCTGTAGAGTGAGTGTGAGTGAGTGGAGTTTGTATGATCTCCCCCCGTTCTGTAGAGTGAGCGTGAGTGAGTGGAGTTTGTATGATCTCCCCCTGTTCTGTAGAGTGAGTGTGAGTGAGTGGAGTTTGTATGATCTCCCCCTATTCTGCAGAGTGAGTGTGAATGAGTGGAGTTTGTATGTTCTCCCCATGTTCTGTAGAGTGAGCGTGAGTGAGTGGAGTTTGTATGATTTCCCCCTGTTCTGTAGTGAGTGTGAGTGAGTGGAGTTTGTATGCTCTCCTTCTGTTCTGTAGAGTGAGTGGAATTTGTATGATTTCCTCCTGTTCTGCAGAGTGAGCGTGAGTGAGCGGAGTTTGTATGCTCTCCTTCTGTTCTGTAGAGTGAGTGGAGTTTGTATGATCTCCCCATGTTCTGCAGAGTGAGTGTGAGTGAGTGGAGTTTGTATGTTCTCCCCCTGTTATGCATGGGTTTCCTCCGGATATTTCCAGTTTCCTCTCCTAGCTGAAAATCCGAACCGCACAGTGTGACCGGTTTTGACCAAAACATGCCAATTCTGGCAAGAAAAAAAACGTTCCTGGAAATTGCTCAATTTGAAAGTCATTCGCAGCATCAGCAACAACATCGCTCCCCCACCACTCGCACCCTCCCCCCCTACCCTAAAAAACTTGGCAAGACCCTCCTGCAAAAAGGGCCTTGAGGCTCAGCGAGGGCTTGTGCCAGAGTAAACAAGTGCAATCATCGTAATATTATAATCCTAATAATTATTGCTGTGTACGTGAATGCGCCCCAATGCATCATTATTTCAAAACTCGTGCTTACGTCATCGGTGTGGAGTACAAGGACAAAGGGCTGCTGTGTATCTTCCAGATTGTTACATAAGACAAATTATATTCCTATCCATCGTTAAAAAAAAAACATTAATGTGCTTGGCACAGCAATCTCGTGTGAGCTTCATCATCATCATATTAAAAAAAAACGTATTATATTTTGCTACTGGCAATGGAGCCCTCATGATGTAAATGCTTACCCTGAGCCCTCATTACTCTGATGGTGCGTTGTCTTTGAGTTGTGCGCCTTTTGGCGTCTTCTGGTCGAACTCCGTGTGAGACTGGGCTCTAAGAAAAGCTGTCTCTGGTGTGGGCCAATCAATTTAAAGGACAGTGCATACATTATCAGTGTGTTTTTTGTTTGCATTCTCACCGCAGGTATTGTGGTCAATGCAAACATGACTCCTTGTAAAAAAGGTGTCAGTTTTGTTGCCAGATAAAAGGGTAAAAAAACAATTATCATATTTTGCTACTGGCAAAGAAGGTTCCAATGGTGTAAATGCTTACCCTGAGCTCTCATACTCTGATGGTGCATTGTCTTTGAATTGTGCGCCTTTTGGCGTCATCTGGTCCAACACCATGTGAGACTAGGCTCTAAGAAAAGCTGTCTCTGGTGTGGACCAATCAATTTCAAGGACAATGCATACATTATCAGTGTGTTTTTTGTTTGCATTCTGACCGCAGGTATTGTGGTTAATGTCAAACATGATTCCTCGTAAAAAGGTGTCAATTTTGTTGCCAGAAAAAAGGGTAAAAAACCCCTATTATTTTTCATGTGAGCTGTCATACAATGACTTCATGAATGTCCAAACGGTTTTCACTCCTGCAACGCTGCACAAATTCAGCTGAAGTTGGACTCCTGCTGCTACTGCTGCTGCTGCTGCTTCAGTGGTGGATCAGCCAGCTGCTACCTCACTCAGTCACTCACCCAGTCAGAGTGATTGATGATCCGGCTCTCACTGATTCACTTCACTCACAAACTCACTCACCCAGGCACTCACCTACTCACTCACTCGCCACACTACAGGTCAGCTACCTTCTCACCCTGCTTCTTCCCTTGCACTGTTTCACCTGAGAATTCTCTTCTTCCCATCGTCGTATAATCTCTGCCCAAGGTCAAGCGTGTTACACTTTTGTCTGTTCCAACGTTGATAGTGCTGTTTGTTGCTGACCGCTCGACGTTCTTTGGCCTCTGGCCCTTTGCTCTCGGCAACTGTGTTACGAACAAACGAAAAAAACCCCCACAGACCAATGGGGCAGGTGCTGTTTGCGAGCGCCTGTTAAGGTCGTGACGGGACATGAAGGAGTGGTGTAGATGCCATTCACCACTATGCCTGGCACAGGCACTGGACCATCGGCATAGTGCGTGTGCCAGCCTAGGTGCACGTTGAGGCCATCACGTGGTGTGTGGAGGGCTCACCGCTGCTGGCAGGAGGTCATGGGACAGACCGAGGTGCCGTCGGGTTGACCGACTGAGAGATGGACTGGCAGATGCTGTACCAGCTGTGTGTCCACCCACTGTCTCAACACACACCTGCAAACACACACACACACCTGTACTCCTGTACTCCCACAGACATGCGTATGCACACACACGTGCACACTGGCACGCACGAATGATGACAGTGACGTAATCGCGTGCGTCAAGTTGTGGAAACGTAACGCGTTTCACAACCGCTTGTTCACTGCGCCGGCAATGAAAACACAGTCGCCCGATTCTGCTCGTTTTTTTTTCCATTGTGTTTGTTGCAACATCACGACAACAAACCCACAACAACAACAATAACATCGTAATCACAACAACGCCGCGACCACAACAATGCCCCAACCACAACAACACCGCGACCACGGCCACGAGAACGCCGCAACCGCAACAATTCCGCAGCCGTGACCACAACAACGCCGCAGCCACGACCACAACAAGTCTACATTTATTGCCGTTTCAGTCTTGCGTTGCGAGCGATTGTTTCGTAACACGGTTTGAATGTTTTTACCGCCGTGTTGCCCACCTTTGCTCCGGGCTCGCGCAAGTCTGGGCGGGTGGCGTGAGCAGAGTTTGCTGACGATCGATTTCTGAATCGCTGATAATTGTTTTTTTACCCTTCTATCTGGCAACAAAACTGACACCTTTTTTACAAGGAGTCATGTTTGCATAGACCACAATACCTGCAGCCATAATGCAAACAAAAAACACAACTCTGATAATATATTCACTGTCCTTGAAGTTGATTGGTCCACACCCGAGACAGCTTTCCTTAGAGCCTAGTCTCACATGGGTTGGACCAGATGACGCCAAAAGGCGCACAACTCAAAGACAATGCACCATCAGAGTATGAGAGCTCGGGTTAAGCATTTACACCATTGGAACCTCACCAATCAACTTCAAGGACAGTGCATATATTATCAGAGTTATATTTTTTGTTTGCATTATGGCTGCAGGTATTGTGGTCTATGCAAACATGACTCCTTGTAAATAAGGTGTCAGTTTTGTTGCCAGATAGAAGGGTAAAAAAACAATTATCACATTTTTTACTGGCAAATGAGGTTCCAATGGTGTTCTGAATCGCTCTTGCGAGTGCCGGTGGCCGGGTGGATGGAAGAGCGCCGAGTTTGGCACCGATAAGCTCCTGCGTTCCGACGCAACCAGCTGCCTGCGATGGAACTGTGTTCTGAGGTTCATTGGGTTGACGGTCTCACTCTGGTTAGCTCGGTTGGCTACGCGCGGTGCGAAAGAAGTTCAACATTGCGTACATAAAGTAACTAGCTGCAAGTCCCTGCATTCAGATCCGGGCCTCAGCCGCTGCTTGTCATTGAAACCGGGTTTCTCAAGTGCAGGGAGTTGGTGGTCACCACTGACTCACGTAAAGAGACCCATCGACTTACATCGAGACAGACAGATTTACTTAAATGCCCACTGGCTCACATCGAGACCCAGAGACTCGCATCGACCGAGAGCTGTGGTTAAACCGGGCTCTCAAGTGTAGTGAGTTGATGGACTAAGCCTGGCCACTAATGACCTGTATTTATCAAACTAAACCCATCGCAATATATTTGGTTCTCAGAATTGTAAATATCGGTTTTGACTCGTGTCATGCGCCGAACGTCACTTTCATATGCAGGGCGGTGTGCACCAGAGGTCACTTGAATGGATCTCAGCGTCGGCTCCGCGATATATGCTTCCGCGGGCCGTTCTCCGACGCGAGGGCAGGTTCGGGCTGCTCTGCGAGGTTTCCCCGAAGATGCCGCAAACGGCGATCGCACTCACCACATTAAATTAGGGGTGGGGGGGAGAAGTTATATAAAAAACAAAATGAACTCTCGCGCCGATCGCGGCTGCGTTCCCACGCCCAGCTTCGTACGGACGGGACGCGCTCGCAACCCCCCCCCCCCCCCCCCCCCCCCGTCGCTTGACGCCAGAGTCTGATTCATAATTTATCGTGTCTCTCGCACCGGCGGGTCGTTGTGCCCGACCTTGCCGAGTCCTCTCCCCCGTTTCTGCGCGCCCGGCTGCCGCTTGTTTACCCCCGAAACGTTCCGCCGTCGGGTTACGGGGACGTGCGCGCCTCGTTGTGGCTTTGTTTTTTTCTTTGTTTAACAAACACCGCGGTTGGTGACGCTAAAAAGAATAAAGGCGCAGCCCTGAAATGTACCTTCCCGCGCCCCTGCCGACGTACGCGCGGCCCTGACCAGGGCGGGCCGCCGTGAGCCTCTCCGTCGAGGGTTTTGCTGCCTACTCGTGAATGAGGTGGGGGGGGAGTACCCACACTTCACCCCGCCACCGGCGACAACGCCGATCGACTTGGCTGCGGTGTGCCGGTGTACACCGCTGCCGGGGAGGACATGCGGTTTGGCGGGAGATCGATTCTGTTTTTTGCAAGTCCAGGTGCGCGGATGGTTCACACCACTGCCACGTCACCCCCCCGTATTTGATGTAAAACGACCTTTGTTTGTTTTGCTTTGTGTCGGCAGATATTGCGGACGGACCGTTGGCGAGAACAGCCCGCTGGCGACGGGGCGTACGGACGCAAACGCGACTCGTCGTAGGAGACTCGCGAAGCCTCCGATCGCCGCCGTACCCAACGCCGCCACTCCACAAGCGCCGTGCCCACACCGCCGGCTCCGTACCCGCTCCTCCAGCGCCGTACCGCGCCCGTCTGCGGAGAGGTGCGCCGTTTGCGGATTATTACTTGTGGCGTGCGTCAGTTTTAAGGCACTCGGTTTTTATTCTTTGCATTTGCTGTAATTTTTGCAAAGCGCAGGTGCTTTGCTCTGACGGTCCGATGACAGCCGCCTGGCTGGGGTAGGGCGCCACGGCGAGGTGGCCGGCGTGGGTGGTGCTGGTGGTGGTGGTGGGCCCCGGAGGAACAAGCTGCTGAGCTGGCGCCGCTGAGATCCAGCGGTTGAATCCGTAACGGCAACAGCGGCCACAATGCCAAATCCGTTGTTTGTTTTCTTGTACTCGCTGTAAAACAATTCGGGATCAGAATATTTATTTATACTGCAGGAGGAGGAGGAATCCGATGAGCTATGAAGCTCTTTTTCACAGATGTCCAGTTAGGGGCGCGGAGAAAGGTACACAAATCACTTAAAAATATACAATTTATATTTTTGGTATTAACCGTTATTTTCAGAAGCGACCTGGCCACAAATGATAGCTCAACGAAGTGGCTTATCACGTGCAAATTTCTCGCAGCCAAATACTCTAAATGCACGCTGATTCTAAATGTGGAGGGGAAAATCGGAGGACCCGGAGAAAATCCACTTGACCACAGCGAGAGAGAGAGAAACACGCAAACTCCAAATATACAGCAACAGCAGGCGTCAGGGGTCGGGATCGAACCCACGACCTCCTGTATACCAGGCGAGGTAGTTAACATCTCCTAGCCACCGTGATGATGATGAGAGAGAGAGACACGCAAACTCCAAATATACAGCAGGCGTCAGGGTCGGGATCGAACCCACGACCTCCTGTACACCAGGCGAGGTAGTTAACATCTCCTAGCCACCGTGATGATGATGAGAGAGAGAGACACGCAAACTCCAAATATACAGCAGGCGTCAGGGTCGGGATCGAACCCACGACCTCCTGTATACCAGGCGAGGTAGTTAACATCTCCTGGCCACCGTGGCACCCTGAGACAATTATCATCGTCTCAGCTGAGCGCCAAAGTTGAAGCACAACTCTCTTGCCGCCGCTGTTGCTGTCATCACAGCTGCGGTTGACATTGACGTCGTTGTTGCTGTTGCTGCTGTCGTTTAGCGGAGCGCGGTGGGCGGCGTGAGGCTGTGCAGGAGCGAGCGTGTGCCGCCCCAGCCCCATGGTGAGGAGAGACATGTGCATGCTGGAGCCCCTGCGGAGCATGGAGCGCAGGGGCAGCAGGGACTCGGCCACGCGCCTCGCCCTCGACACGTTCGTCCCCGGCCCGGCAGGTGAGAGAGTGGGCCGCCACTACCGCCACTACCGCCACTAGCGCCACTACCGCCACTACCGCCACTAGCGCCACTACCGCCACTGCCAACACCACTACCGCCATTACCGCCACTACTGTCACTACCGCCACCACTACCGCCACCACTACCACTGCCAACACCACTACCGCCACTACCGCCACTACCGCCACTGCCAACACCACTACTGCCACTACCGCCACTACCGCCACTGCCAACACCACTACCGCCACTACCGCCACTACCGCCACTGCCAACACCACTACTGCCACTACCGCCACTACCGCCACTGCCAACACCACTACCGCCACTACCGCCACTACCGCCACTGCCAACACCACTACCGCCACTACCGCCACTGCCAACACCACTACCGCCACTACCGCCACTACCGCCACTACCACCACTGCAGCCACTGCCAACACCACTACCGCCACTACCGCCATTACCGCCACTGCCAACACCACTAACAACCGGTGCCTTTACCACCATTACCACCACGACTACCAACGCCACCATGGCCACCACTACCACCACTACCAACACCACTACCACCGCCACCATCGCTGCTACCACTGCCACTACCATCGCCACCACCACCGCCACCACCACCACCACCCCTCCCACCACCAACACCACTACCAACCGCCACCACCACTACCACCGTTACCACTATGACTACCACCGCCACCACCACCACCGTTACCACCACTACCGCCACTCCCACCACTCCCACCGCCGCCACCGCTACCACCGCGGCCTACCTCCGGCTTTTCGGTTCCATCTCCCTCCGTGTGGTCCCCCAGCAGCGGGCAGGCGTGGCGTCCAGCTGGAGCCGTTTGTGCACCAGGTGGGCGGCCACACGAGCATGCTGCGCTACGACGAGCACACCATCTGCAAGCCGCTCATCTCGCGCGAGCACCGCTTCTACCAGAGCCTGCCGCAGGACATGCGCCAGTTCACCCCGCAGTACAAAGGTACGCGCTCCACCACGGCCACCACCACGGCCACCACTACCGTCACCACCACCTCCGCCACCACCATCGCCACCACAACCACCACTACCGTCACCACCACCGCCACCAACACCACAGCCACCACTACTAAATCCACCATCACCACCACCGCCGCCACAGCCACCACAACCATCACCACCACTGCCGCCACCACCATCGCCACCACAACCACCACTACCATCACCACCGCCGCTACCATCGCCAGCACAGCAATTAACTACCATCACCACTGCACCACCGCTCTGCCACACTGAAACAAACACACACACACATACACATGTGGATGTCCGGTCCATCGCTGGGGGGCATTGGCCAACATTCATGACCCATAGACTTACATACAGGGCCATAGACTTACATAGAGGGGCCATAGACTTACATACAGGGCCATAGACTTGCATAGAGACCCATAGTCTTACATAGGGAGCCATAGACTTGCATAGAGACCCATAAACGTACATGGAGGGGCCATTGACCTACGTAGAGACCCATAGACTTGCACATAGAGCCATAGAAGGCAATCGGCGGACCGAACCCGCCGGTGCTCAGACCTGACATTCATCTCCCTCCTCGGCGGGGAAAACACCGAGGAAGTGTGTCGGTGGCGCGGCTATTCTGAGCGGAGCGCGTAACGATGCGGACACTCGGAGGCACAAACAACCGCTCGCAATAATGGGCCGGGGGAGCTCACCTCTCGCTTTTATCTTCCCCGTGTTGTGGCTTCCCCCGCCAGGCGGGGGGCTAAGCGCGCCGGATTTACACTGCGGCGGGGAGGGCGGTGCACTCCGTGTGGCGCGTTAATAGAGGCCGCGCGTATTTATAGGCCCGTCCGGAGGACACCTCGCGCTGCTTTTTGCGAAGGGCTCAGGGCTAATGGAAGGGATTGCTGCTGCTGCTGCTGCTGTCAGCCAGCCAACAAACCAACCAGTCAGTCAGCCAGCCCACAAACCAGCCAGTCAGTCAGTCAGCCAGCCCACAAACCAGCCAGTCAGTCAGTCAGCCAGCCCACAAACCAGCCAGTCAGTCAGTCAGTCAGCCCACAAACCAACCAGTCAGTCAGTCAGCCCACAAACCAACCAGCCAGTCAGCCAGCCCACAAACCAACCAGTCAGCCAGTCAGCCAGCCCACAAACCAACCAGTCAGCCAGTCAGCCAGCCCACAAACCAACCAGTCAGCCCACCAACCAGCCAGTGAACCCACCAATCAGCCCGCCCGCGATCTAGATGCCTTTACCGAAAGTGGTTCCGAGCCCTTTGGATGAGAATTCTGTTTGTCCCGAAGCACTCAGAGCCCCCGGACGCTGCTCTCCGGCGACAGGGAATTTGTTTGCGCTCTGCGCTCCGCACTTGCCGTGCGCCCCGCGATGTTTCTTGACGACGTAGTCCGACAAGCCCTTTCCCTGGCTACGCCGGTGGCATTTCCCATTTCCATCTGGTGTGGATGCGGAGGCGGGGGCGGGAGGCTGATGACAGATGCCCGGGTTGCGGTCAAGGATGTCTCTCCCTTCTGGTCACTCGTGTTAATTCCTGCTCGTGAGCTCACGTGTGTGTGTGTGTTTGCATTGCCGCGGGGAGCGGCGGTGCAACGTTTAGCGCGCCGCGCCATGAACCCGGCGACCCGAGTCCGATTCCCTAATAGGCGCGAAAACGTGGGGCTTTCGCCCGCGTCGTGAAGTCCCGCTGCACGTCATCGGTGTGTCGACGCCGTCCCCGGTTCGACTCCGGTTACAGGAGCCGGAACATTTTTCTCCCACGCTCTACGCCGGTTTCCTACATACCCAGCCGCGGGCCTCCCCAAGGTTCACTCAGCCTAACATTAGCCGCCGGCCGCAAAAGCGAGGGGGGACGCCGCGGCCCCGGGTGGCGGTATCTGTCTAACTCTCTCACCGCCAGCCGAGGCCGCCGTGGGCTTTGTCATTCGGCGTGTGCTGCAGCCTCGCGCGTTCGCCGCTTGATAGCGCCGCGGTTGGCGCAATGGTCGCGCGCGCCGTGGACTTGCAACCCAGAAGCAGCCGGTTCGATTCCGTGTCCCGACACTTGCCGTTGAATCGAGATCCCCTGGGTTTCATCGCACACGAAGCCCTATGGTCCACCCTAAACCGCATCCGCCGCACGAACCATGGCAGCAGATACGGATGCCTGATGCACAAATGGAAAATTAAAGCCTCTCCAGCAGCGTGGCACTGTGGTCGTGCAGAACGAACCGTGCAACACGTAAGAGACGCGATGCCCCGATCCACGGCAAACCAAGGTGACGTCACACTCCGCTGCTCCTGACGCGGTTGTCCGGCTTGACCACCTGGATGTTAAATTTTAGTTGCTGCCCTGCATCTACATCGGCATCCGTACGGAGGAAGAAGCGGAAACAATTGGACACGATTTCTAATTCCCCAACCGCCCCGCCCGCCCCTATCCACCCCGCAGGGCACCACCACTGTTAGCCGCTCGGCAGGTCGTCTGTGGTGGGGTCAAGTGCGGGCGCTCCCACCTCTTGCAAGACATTCGGCAGGGGCGGAGGAGTAGGCCGAAACGACCCGCGGGCAAAGCAGTTTTGCCGGGCTGCACTTTGGCGGTTCTTAAAACTGTGGTACGCGCCGCGGAGGGAGGGGAAAAAGAAAACAAAAACTCGGCTCGACTCGGCAAGTCTCGCCGCACGAACCGAACCGATTGGCAACGTTCGCGCGCGTCGCCCCGCGTGGCCTCGCAGGCGAGTGACGGGGGAACGCGCGCGCGGAAATGGCGAGGCGTGTTTGAGCGCGCGGAGGGTGATATCGGCGGCGTGCGTGGGATATTAGCGTGCGAGCGTGCTCTTTCTTCCGACCCGCCTGACCCGCTGTGCCCGGGGACCAGCTGCGGTGGCTCAGGTTACGCTGGCGGGCGCTTGCGGGCGGGCGGGCGGGCACGGGCGGGCAGCCTTCTCTTTCAAAAGCAGATGTTCCTCCGGTTAGGAACCCGGCTCTGCTCGGAATGAAACACGATGTTCAGAACGCGCGGAGCGATAAAATCAAGCGCACGTGTCGTCAAACCTCCCGCGTCGTCAGCGGAGTGAGGAGTTCGTTGTGTTTATCGATTTTTTATTTATTTGACGTGTACATTTCTTATTGACGCTACCCCAGCCACGGCTGAAAGCATTGAAGCGTGAGCTCTGTCCGTCCGTCCGTCCGTCTGTGTCTCATCCGTCCGTTTGTAACGGTGGGGGGGGGGTTCCCGATAATTCTGGATATAAACTCTGGGTCACGGTAACTTTGGTTATAATTGTCCAATATCACCGTCGTCTCGGTGTCACCGTTGCTGCTAGTTAGACTTTAGCGCAGACGCACCCTGAAAACCATCGCAGAGCCAACGCGTGACGATGATTTTCCCTCCCTGTGTGACAATGCACCGTCATCGTATATGTAAACAAACGCGTCCGCGCTTATATAAGCATTTGCACGTACATCATATAGGGCAAAGATCTGCCCTCTTGGCCTACATAGGCTGCTGTTAGCGAGCGCCTATTAAGGCCGGTTAGGTACTTGAAGCGGTGGTGTGGCCAGCACCGGTCGCTGTTGACTGCCATGTGCCGATGTTCACGGACCGCGCCGAGTGCTCGTTTACGGCCGAGTCGACTTAGGCGAGTCCCGGGACCGCTTTTGAGATCTCGCTCGCCACCAGCTCACCGGGACCCAATGCACGGTCGCGCCGACCACTTGCGGACGCGGTCAAAAACGTTGACGTGAAATCTTGACTTGAAGCTTTCGTGACCGCGGGAATCCGTACTCTTTGGGTCTTTCGGTAAAGTCACGTAGATAGAATATATAAAAGATTATTTTTATTATTATTTTTCTGCTGTTATTTTTCTCTATCTAATTTAATAATTAAAAGTATTTATATTTTTATACATTCTATCTACGTGACTTTACCGCTCCCTTACCCAACCACAATGAGTACAATGTTTACGTTCCGACTTCTCCGCGCGGAATGCCGCCACCACCGCCGCCGCCGCCGCTCAGATAACGCAGAACCGCGCCACCCGCCTCTCTTGGGCGAGGAGAGAGGGGGGTGGGGGGTGCTAGAGTGGGAACTGGGACGGGGGGGGAGCTGTCGGCCCTACTTCACCATCGCATTGCGCTGTCGACGTGTCTTGACGATTGGCAGCTCGGTCAGCGTACGGAGTTTATGTGTGTGTATATGTGTATGTATATGTGGGGAGCGGTAGTGTAGCTTTTAGTGCGCTGCGCTACAAACCCCGCGACCCGGGTTCGATTCCCAAACGTAATAATGATATATACTCTACGTAACACATTCCTGCGGAGGGAGCTGGTAGGAACGTTGGGTTGCTCGGTCAATGGCCAGGGTCAACGGCGGCGTGGTGTATTCCGCAAATATGCCCGACTGTGAGGGCGGGCACAAGCCGGCGTGAGTAGGTTAAACGTTGAGTTTTATAAGGGCACCACGGGGTGACCAGCCCCTCCCCACTCAGCCCCACCCTCCACCCCCAGCCCCTCCCCGCCCTCCCCACCCAGCCCCTCCCTCCCTCCCCTCCCAGCCCCTCCCTGCACGACGGACGGACGGACACAATAATCCCCTGTGGGCTGGTGTAACCAGGAGGTTCCTACCAGTATTATCGTGTATATGTACTTAGTTTTCATGCATATTGAAATTCCTCCGCACCGTACGTAGCCAGCCGCGCTAATCGGAGGTGCGATGCGTAATCTACTCTGTGATGGAGTTAGCACAGCGAAGCTTCCGTGGCGTAATGGTGAGCATGCTGGACCTGCGGACCTGAAGGTCGTCGGTTCGATTCCGCCTCCTTAGATTATTAAAGGCGATCCTGTGTCTGCTGCTCTCCTCCCAGCGGTATGCATCTTCGCGTGTGGTTGCGGTGAGTGGGTGAGTGGGTGGGTGAGTGGGTGAGGGAGTGGGTGAGCGGGAGAGTGAGTGGGTAAAGGAGCGGGTGAGCGAGAAAGTGGTTGGGTAAG